CCCCAAAACCCCAAAACCCCAAAACCCCAAAACCCCAAAACCCCAAAACCCCATAAGTTTTTATTTATTGAATTTCTTAAGCACTAATGTCAGGGTTTGAAATATGAATTCCAAAGAAGCATCTAGTTTTTATGCACCAGCATTACTTAGGCATCGGCGAAAATGACAAACTTTCCATGAAAGAGCGCATTGAAAAGACACTTGGAAGTGATCCTCAGGAGGAAGTGAACAATGAGGAGTCTTCGTCTTACCAAAAAGGGGAACATACCCATAATTCAACAATCGAAGGTAATCCTCCTGCAGAAGGAAACTCAGAGCAGGAGGAGAAATCTGACACAGAAGCTGGTATTATGGATAGAGCAGATGTCCTCTTTAAATACATCCTCAGATCATTCAGAAAACATTACTGCAAAAGCTTTTAACGATGTTACGCAGTACAGGAAAAGGAAAAGGAGAGTGACTCAGAAGCTTACCCTTCTTGGTGCCATGAAAGAATTCAAACAGAAAACCTTCCCCACAAGCACACTGCCTGACCTTGAGATTTACTTGCTTTCACTTATCACTCACAGGGTTTCACCTCGCATCCCAAAAAGAAAGAAATGGGCTAAAATAAAAGATCTAATGAAAACGACCCTTTATCAATTCAATAGAAAGAGACTGCAAACCTTTTTGTCTCACACTCAATTTGCTTTCCTACTGCTGAAGTTTCTAGAGACACCAGACATCTTGTCTACCCTTTCCAAAAGATCTCAGCTAATCAAGGACGAGAAGTGCAGGGAGACCCTTGTACACCACATCAATCTGCTGAAGGAAGAATGCTCAACCAAATTGAGCAACAGATCCAACAATTTTCTTGCCTAAATCCAAGGCAGAAAGTAGGTGACCATGGCTTGCAGAGCTGCTCTGCTCATCAGAGACCTCTGCCATTTTTCCCAGCCAATTTTCCGGGTACAACACCTGTTTGCTTGGAGCCCAGAAGAGTGAACTCAGCACTGCTGATTTCACCAAGGAGGCTCTTTTTCCAAAACAAGTGTATTTTTCCTAACCCGTTTTCGGCCACCTACTCTAAATTTACTCAATAAGAAAATTAGAGAATACCTTATGAGTCTGTGGGAATTAGTCGCCTTGTATCTTTTAGTGAGATTCTGATCTTAGGCTTCTTAAGTAAGAACATACAAATCTCTACCACTCATGCATTTCTTAGTCTCAGCTTTGTACATTACTATCACAAAAATCAATTTTTAGTGCTAATCGATCGAGAATAGCCATTTTAGGTCATTTTTAGCTATTAATCGGTTTTGTTGCCCATAGAAGATCCTTGAGGATACTTTAGGTTTATTTCTGAAATTTGAATCCTAGAGAAATTTCCCGAAGTATAACCTAGCTTTTTAATAATATAATGCTTTCACATAAAATCTTCGGTAAATAATAACATGAATCTCTTTAACATTATGGGTTTGGGAAGATTGGCCTAGCTCAATCGGTTCAGTTTGGCTGAGAGACATAAAGTGAATCGAAGAAATTTATTTATTCATTATCTAAGATTTTTCGGCCTAAATCCCATTTTGGGCCCTAATCAGCAATGAGAAGGGCATATTCACCAAGCTAAGAGGTTTAAACAAAAATGTGACTAGAAAATCCTCCATAACAGCCTAATAATGCTAAATTTTGCCTCTAATACTCAATTGAAGGAGATTATGGTAAGACCAAATCCTTTGAAAATGCTACATATAAGATCTCTTATAGTTATTTCATAACATAAAATTCATATAGTAATATTTCCATTTCTAAATGAAGCAACGGGGTTTTGGGGTTTTGGGGTTTTGGGGTTTTGGGGTTTTGGGGTTTTGGGG